TAAATGTGCCTCCCAATAATGAAAGGAGAGATAATTAGACTACAAGAGTTGTAACCTAATTGGTCCATCTCAGTCTAAATGGACTAGCTGAGTGGTAACTGGTAACTGTAAGCAGGTGAGGTATATGCTGAAGGAGGTGGGTCACTGTGGCAGAGGGTTAGAGGACCCCTTAGAACGGTTCAAATTCCCTTCAGCCATTCTCCAACCCATGCTTCCTGGAAGAAGCCCTTAGTGAAGCAGTGCTCTTCCATCACACCCTCTGCCATGATGGTCTGCCTGTCTGCCTGATCTTGGGCCCAGAACAATGGAGCGGTCTATCAAACACTAAACCACTAAACAGACAGCCAAAATACACTTTTTCTCCTCTAAGTTGTTCTTGTTGGATGTATTGGTCACAGTGATGGAAAACAAAGATAAGAACTGACACCAGGAGTGGGGTTATTACTGTGACTAACCTGATCATGTGGTTCAAAAGTCTTTGAAACGGGCTTATATGAGGAGTTTGAAGAAGTCTGAGTATGCAGGCTGCACAATGGTTAAAATGTTGTGAGCATACCTTAACAGGCAATTCTGGTGGGAGTCCTAAAGATCAAAATGCCAATAGGAATAGACAGCAAGGACTATGCACATGAAGTTTCAGAGGGAAATGAGAGCTCTATTGGAAATTGGACTGGAGGCCACTGTGAAAAATTCGGGCAAAGAATTTTTCTATGTTTTACCTGTATCCTGAGATTTTATATGTGGCTAAATTTAGAAGTGATAGACTAATTAATCTGGTAGAAAAACTTCAGGACAGTGTAACATTCAACTAGTGGTAAGGCTATTGCTGGCAGCATTTAGCTAGGTATACTGTGAGAATTGGTAACAAAAAGAATGAAAGAAGGATTTATGAAACTTATCATTTGGTCACAAAAGTACATATAAAACTGAAGCCAAGGAAGCTGTGCTTATTATAGCTATGAAAGAGATGCTAAGTACTTTGCAAAAAGATAACAGAAAAGATAGTTTGAGGACAGCTCAGTATTTTGCCAGACCATATCCATTGCAGGTTCAAGGATGTAAACAGGAAAATTCTTTTAGAAAAGGGATCATGAAGACCCCCTGATAACACAATGGGGCTAGGAAGTTGTTTTACTGTGCTCAGCTGCTGAGGTACTCAGAGGTCATGTTCCCAGGGGGCCCAAATATTGCTGAGCTGACAGGAGACCTTGACATCATCCACACTATGCAAATTCTACAGAAATGCAAGACGCTAGAGTTAAGTGGTCATGCAGGCTTCCACTAAGATTTCAGAGGAAGGACTTGGAGACCAGGAAAAGTATAACAGGATCAGAATTCCTATAGGCTTCCCTTAAGAGGTGAGCTATAAAGGTGAAATCAAAGCTAGAATTTAAGAAGACCCCAGAAATTAAGAGATGCCAGTAATTTCTGTCTGCCAAGAAAAGGTGCTATATAGAGAGAGCCAGGCTAAAAGGGAGGCCATATATGCTGCTACCAGCAAGTGCAAGGGGTAGGACTACCCAAGCTCTTTGGAGAATATATCTCACCATCACATACCTTAGATTCTATACACAGTTATTTGTCTGGCTGAGGACAGTAAGTCTTGTTTTGGTCCTATTCTTTCTTTCTATATCCCTGTTTCTCCTTTCTGGAATGGAAACCTTTAGTCTGGACCAGTGTATACTGGATATACCTAACTCACTTTTGGTCTTTATAGGGGGGCTCATAGTAAAGAGTTTGTCTTTGATGAAACTTTGGACTTGGATTTTCAGCAATGCTAAAATTCTTAAGGCTATGAATATACTCAGATAAACTAAAACATTTTAAATTGTGAGATGAACATGAGTTTTTGGGGACAGGGGTAGGATGCTACAGTTGTAATCTAAGGTAACCTCCAAAAGCGACTATGTTAATACAGGAATATCCAGAGGTAAAATTTAGATTATGAGAGCTGTTATCTAACCAGTCTATCCTACTTTAAATGAACTAACTGGGTGGTAACAGTAGGCAGGTGTGGTATGGGTGGAGGAGGTGGGTCATGGGTGGGGGTGTGTGCCTTGGAAAGGGTTATCTTCCCTGGGGTCCCTCCCTACCTGCTCTGCTTCTAGGCCACCATAAATGGTGCACCCTTCTACAATTATATTCTCCTTTACCTTAAGCCTAGGACAATGGCATCAGCCCACCTTGGATTAAACTTCTAAAACAGAGAGCCAAAAATATATTTTCCTTTCTCGAAGTTGTTCTTGTTGGGTATTTTGGTCACAATGCCCCAAAGCTGACTAACACAGGGAATCCCTGTCTCAAAATTAAACAGGGCTGGTAAAGTAGCTTGATGGTGAGCCCTGGATTCAATCCTCAGAACTGCAAAAATTAATAAACAAACCAAATAAATAAATAATAATTGTTATCAAAAAAAGTTGCTATGTGGATTAAATGAAAACCCAAATGCAACATTTGATTCACTGCAAAGAAAATAGGATACGCACAATAAGTGTTTACTATAGTTATAGTTGAAACCTTCCTCCTCTACTTGAAACCCCAAGAAATTTGGAATTCAATATTAAAAAATGTTCTACTACGAAGAAAATATTTTTTTCCTTCTTCTTTAAACTATATAGTGAGTGTCCCATCAAAATCAATGTCAAATTTAAGGTCTCCTAAAAAGAAACAACAGCCTCTTAAATTTCTATTACACTGACTCTTGTTTCAAATTCATATTCTCTCCAATTTTGATTTTAATTGTGTATGAGAATAAGCAAATACAGGAATGAATGACCCAACTGAATAACAAAGTGAAAAAAAATATCAAGTTTAAACCCAGAACGAATCCTAGTTATTCAAAGACTCTAGAAATTCAATAGGGGATTCAGACTATTTTAAAATTACTACACTTTACTGAAGTAGCCCACAAATTTAAGATGAGCATATAGAAAAGAAGTTTCAAATTAAAAAAATATGCCTTACATGTAAAACCACCCTAGATATTTGAAATTATGTAAACAATGAGGGCAATAATGAAGATTTTGGCCAAAAGTAACTCTTAACCTATAGAAACATTATGCATCACATGGAAAAGTTAAATTTATTGCTTTTAAGAGATGTTTCATATATAGGGGATGCATTATAAATAGTTTGTTCAAAGCATCAAAGAAAGAATACAGATCTGGATATGGTGATGCACACCCATAATTCCAGCCACTTGGAAGGCTCGGGCAGAAATGTTGCAAGTAGGAGGCTACCTGGGCAGCTTAGCAAGACTGTGTCTTTAAAAAAAAAAAAAAAAAAAGAAACAGTATGGGGATTTTAGGTCAGTTATACAGCACTTGCCTAGCATATGCAAGGCTCTGAAATCCATCTTTGATACTGGGGGAATTAAAAAAAAATGTTTTTCAGTTTAAATCAAAACACAATGGCAAATTAAAAGCATCTAGTAGAAGGAAACACAATAGGAAACCATATTCCTTTCCCTGTCACTGAAAGTTTTGTTATCAATAACAAATAATAACTAAAAAGATGTCATCTAAAATTTCAGTTGGTTTCCTTACTTAGAGAGTTAGAAGTTGGATCTATTCTCCAGGAAAGGTAAGGATTTCATCCGCCTAGTTAAGTAAAATAGAAAACTCAATCACAAATAAGCTTCAATAATAATAATTATCTTAAGAATTATCTTTGGAACTTAAAGAGTTTCCAAAATGCAAAACAAAACCAAACATCCCAATTGAAAAATGGACAGGCCAAGGAATGGTAACATCTGTCTGTAACCCCAGCTACTTTGAAGGCCAAGGCAGAAAGGTCACTTAAGCTGAGGGGTTCATGACTTCAAGACCAGCATGAGCAACATAGTAAGACCTGTCACAAAAACACAGGATAAGCTGGGCATGGTAGAGCACACCTATAATCTCAGTAACTCGGGAAGCTAACTAAAGCAGGAGGGTCAAAATTTCGACTCTAACCTGGATAACTTGATGAGACTCTGTCCCAAATAAGAAGGGATGGCGATGTAGTTCAGTTATAAAGAGTTCCTGGGTTCAATTCTCAGTAACACAAACAAAAAGCAAAACTACACAGGACAAAAGATTTGAATAAATATTTTGCCAAAGATATATAAATGGTTGATAAACACTTGACAAGATATTCAACGATTATAAACTAATGATTATAATGATTACAACACGTAAAACAAAAAAAATAACAAGTGCTGACAAGGACATGAAGAATCTGAAATGCTTGTGAAACGATGGTAGGAATGTAAAATGATGTAGCTGTTGTGGAAAACATTGTGGAAGATCCTCAAAAAAATTAAACATTATATTACCATATGATCCAGAAAATCACAATAGACAAAAGGTAGAAGAGTAAATCAAGTATCCACTAATGGATAACTGAGAAACAAAAAGTGGTATACACACACAATAGAATATTATTCATCCTTAAACAGGAAGAAAATTGTGAGACATGCTACCATATGGATAAAGTTGAAGACAACATGTCAAATTAAATAAGCCAGTCATAAATGGACAAATACTTTTTTATATTTCTTTGGTATGAGGTTCCCAGAAGATAGTAAATGCCAGAGCTTGGCAGGGGGAGAAAATGCGGAGGTAGTGTTAAACAGGTACAGTTTCTATCAGGCAGTTCTACCACAATGTGCATATACTTAATGATAGAGAAATGTACACTTAAAAATGGGTTAAATGGCCAATTCTGTGTTATGTATATTTTCCTAAAAAGTTCACTAAATGTCTTAGCATTCTTAAATAAGAAAAGAATATACTTTGATGATTTGAACCTATTTGACTTAGTTTAATGTTTTATGTGAGAACAAATCTGATTTTTTTTTTGCTCTTTTTCCTTTAAATTAAAACAACAACAACAAAATAACCCTTATTTTATAGGAAGGCTCTCAATTTGAGATAGAAATTCAGAATTATATAGTTGAGTAGAGGAGAAGAAGACAGAAGAGATTACAAAACAAAGCAAAAGAAAACACACAAAAAAACCTTGTTTAGGTGTTTCTTCTTCTTTTTTAGTCTCCTCGTCCTCTAAGATGGGACTTTCCCGGGAAGAGATGTCCTGTTGGCTAGAGTTTTTCAATAGTACAGGATCAATTTGTGCTTTCAGGAGTGCAAGAGTCTCAGCCAACTCGTTTCGATTTCTAAACAAGGGAAGAAACAAGGCAGTATAAAAATCTTTATTCTGAAGAACTTTTTGAATAATATCTATTAGAAATAGGTATTTTTTTAAATATTTATTTTTTAGTCATAGTTGGACACAATACCTTTATTTTATTTATTTATTTTTATGTGGTCTGAGGATTGAACCCAGGGTCTCGCAAATGCGAGGTGAGTGCTCTACTGCTGAGCCACAATCCCTGTCCTGGAAATAGGTATTATTATAAAGAAAAAAACACACATTTAAGAATATCGAAAACACAGGTGCAGCTAACCATAATTAACGCTGAATTCTAAAAATAAGTATTAAAAAAGGCATGTTATATGGCCGAGGTTGTGGCTCAGTGGTAGAGCGCCTGCCTAGCATGCGTGAGGCACTGGGTTCAATCCTGGGCACCACATAAAAAAATTTAAAAAACAAATAAAATAAAGGTATTGCATCCCTCTACAACTAAAAAAATTTAAAAACAAAAAAGAAAGGCATGTTATAATTATATCTAATACTGGGATTCATAGTTACATGCACAATATAACTGAAATTATTCTCTCTACTGATTAGAAAAGCAATGCGTATCTCTTTAGATGAAAGCAAAAAATAGGACACTAAACAAAAACCAGAAATTAATAACTGAAAAATATTATGTAATCTCTAAGGATGCAAAACTTGATTGAAGAAGTAGTTTCTAAGCTACAACTAAAAAAAACTCTAAAAAAAGAGTAGTTTTTTAAATAAACTTGAGTTATTTGGAAAGAATTTTTTCAATCTTCAGAGATAGTAGCATCTTATACTTTTATAAAATTATGATCTAGAACTTTCTGAATAATTATGGCAAAAAGCTCTAATAAGTTCAAAAACAAAAGGGTTTAGTTGATGATTTTGTTTTGCCAATGATGATTTATACCTAAACATGAGAACTCAGTTTCATTTAACAATACAAGGAAATCCCCTATAAATAAAATTCTTGGGGCTGGGGATGTGGCTCAAGCGGTAATGCACTTGCCTGGCATGCGCGGGGCACTGGGTTCGATCCTCAGCACTACATAAAAATAAAGATGTTGTGTCCACCAAAAACTGAAAAGTAAAAATTGTTAAAAAATTTCTCTTTCTCTAAAAAAAAAAATTCTAATCCACAAATTATTTTTTCTAGCAAAAGCAGAAGTGTAGTATGGTTACTTTAAATGCTACTCAAAACTAAGAAAACTCACTTGGATAATTTTCCTGCTCAAACAAAGAATATGAGATGGTGAGTGTGAAATAGACTCAGAGTTCAGAAACTTAGCTCTAGAGCTGATACTAAGGTAATCAAAACATGACTTTCTTCCGCCAAGTTCTCAAAGAACTGTGCATGTACCTTGAATTCCATGTAATTTAGATGACATTGTTAGTTTTCAGTCGTGTCATATATCCCCAATCCTATCCATGTCCAGATCTATGCCAGCTAGACTCTACTGCTTTAGAGTGAAGTTGGATTAAGTGAACTCTAAAAGAATGTTTAATGAATGAAAGTAATACTTTCATACACAAGATGTCTAGGTGCCCCTAGATAAGTCATACACACACTGAATATTCCTTTTCTGAAATGCTTGGAATGAGAAGTGTTTTAGGTTTCAGATTTTTCTGATTTTGGAATATTTACACATGCATAGAGAGATATCATATGGATGAGACCCAAGTCTAAACCAAAAATTCATTTTTATACATGCTTCCTACATACAATTGGTAATTTCCATATTTTTAATCATTTTGAATATTAAACAACACTTGTACACACAGACATCAGAAAACAAAGGTGTCACTATCTCAGCCTCCATGTGGACAGTCTTAAGATATTTGGCATCATCATCATTCCTGTCTGAGTTTATATACTACCAAAAAGCAATCACTTTCTTATACTTATTCACATACGAATAAAAATTATTGCCAGGTATGGTGACATACGTTTGTAATTCCAGCAACTCAGAAGGCTGAGGCAGGAGGAATACAAGTTTGAGGCCAACTTCAGCAACTTAGCAAGGGTCTAAACAACTTAGTGAGAGAGACCCTATTTCAAGTAAAAAGTAAAAAGGGCTGGGGATGTGGCTCAGTAGGAAAGCATCCCTAGGTTCAATCCCCAGTATTAAAAACACACACACACAGTATACCATTCATATAGTTTAAAAAAAAATGATGTATTCAGGGTTACTACACAGCACAATAGCCTATGCAAGCTGTTTCACAAAACAATAAAAAGGTTCCAACCTCCAATAATAATGTTTTGATTAAAATGTTAATGTGCACTGATTTTGTGTTTTCTAATGTGAGAAGAAATATCAGAAGCAGTTCAAGGACCAACAAGGTGAGTCTTCTAGGAATGAAGAAACATTCTGCTGGATGGCTTTTTAAAATGTTTCTTCCACAGTCATATGCATTATGAACAACTGTTTTTGTTTTAGAAGACTTTGGTGTTATAAACTAACATTATTGCATATTTTTTCCATATTCTTTATTAAGTAAAACTGAAGTACAATAAAGTGCACATATTTGAAGTATGCAATTTGATGAGTAACATGTATATAACTAATACAATCAATACAAAAAGCATTTCTTTGCTTAAATTTGAAATCATGCAGACTGTATTTCCTGCATGATTTATTATATTAGAAATCAATTGCCTTAAGATACATAGAATCCCACCCCATGTCAACCGTTTCAAAATTAAATGGCACACTTAATCTCTGAGATCAAGGAAGAAAGCACAAGGAAAGTAAATAAAAAGTACTTTGAACTAAGTGATAATAAAAGCTGAAAGTATTAGGATTTCTCAGATGAAACAGTACTCACGTGAACATTTACAACTTAAAGTACTTGTATCAGAAAGAAACTAGAATAACAATCAAATTATTTTCAAATTAAGTAGTAGGAAGGAAAAAATAAGTGTAGGAGAAGAATTATATGAAATAGAGAAGAAATAATACAGCTAAAAGTTAATATAAATCAAACAAGTCTAATCAAGAAAAAAGCAAGAACACAAAAATAATGGAACATAAGTTATCAAAGTAACCCTACAGATGCTAAAAATATATTAAGGTAATATTACAATTTATGCCAACATATGTGATAGCTGACATAACATGATCTATATTAAAGAAGGATCCATGTACTGCTGAGAAGAAAATGTATTCATTGATGGATGAAATATTACATATATATTATAATATATGTCTGTTAAATCTAAATTATAGATTGTATTATGTATTTCTATAGTTTCTTTATTTATTTTGTTTGGAAAGTGTCTTCAGTAGTGAGAGAGGTGTGTTAAAATCACCCAGTATTACGATGTTGTGATCTATTTGAGTCTTGAAGTTGAGAAGTTCGTTTGATGAATGAAGATACTCCATTGTTTGGGGCATAAATATTATGAATGTTATGTCTTGTTGATGTATAATTCCCTTAACCAATATGAACTGTCCTTCTTTGTCCCTTCTGATTTACACTGGCCTGAAGACCACTTTATCAGATATGAGCATAGAAAACCTTGCTTGTTTATGCAATCCATGTGATATGTTTTTTCCCATCCTTTCACCTTCAATCTGTAGATTGAAGTGAGTCTCTTAGAGACAGCATATTGTTGGTTTTTTTGTTTTTTAAATCCAATCTGTCGGTTTATGTCTTTTGATTGATGAGTTTAGACCATTAACATTCAGGGTTATTATTGAGATGTGATTTGTACACCCAGTCATTTTGGTTTATTCCTAGTTTTTAATTTGAATTAAGTTTCTCCTTTGATTGACTATTCCTTTAATGTAGTTCTTCCCTTTGTTGGTTTTCATATATTTTTTATTTCATATGCATGGAATATTTTGAAATGCAGGCTTTCTGGTTGAGAATTCTATTAGTTTTTGTTTTATCATGGAGGGATTTTATTTCAATTTCAAATCTGAAACTTAATTTTGCTGGACATAGGATTCTTGGTTGGAATCCATTTTCTTTCAGAGCTTGATATATGTTATTCTAGCACCGCCTAGCTTTGAGGGTCTGGGTTAAGAAACCAACTGATATCCGTATTAGATTCCCCCTGTATGTAGTCTACTATTTTTAAAAAATTCTATCCTTATTCTGTATACTAGGTATTTTCATAATGATGTGTTTTGATGTGGGTCTGTTGTAATTATGCACATTTTGGGGGGTCCTAAAAGCCTTTTGTATTTGATTTCCCATTTCTTTCTTTAGATTTGGGGGATTTTCTGGTATTATTTCATTGAAAAGATTGTGTATGCCTTTGGTTAGTATCTCTGCACCTTCATCCATCCCAATAAATCTTAAATTTGGTCTTTTCATATTATTCCATAGTTCTTGGAAATTCTGTTAATGGTTTCTTAACATCCTCTCTCTGTGGTTCACTCTATTTTGTCCTCATTGCCTGAGGTTCTGTCTTCCAAGTGGTTTAGTCTGTTGGTGATGCTTTCTATTGAATTTTTAATTTGGTTTACTGTTTCTTTCATTTCAAGGACTTCTGCTTGATTTTTCTTCAGAATCTCTTTATTGAAGTTATCTTTTGCTACCTGTATTTGCTCTCTTACATCATCCTATACTTTGCAGATCAGTTTAACTACGTACACTTTAAACTTCTTCTCTGACATTTCTTCCACAGTGGTGTTATTGAGGTATCTTTGTTTGCTTGGGGTGATTTGTTTCCTTGCTTTTTCTTGTTATTTGTGTGTCTACCCATCTAACTGTATGGATCTGTAAAATTTCTACCCTGTGGATTTATAGCATCCCTAAAGGTTTCCAGTACCTCACTCTTTAGGGGGAGACAAGGAATAGCAACAACCAATACAAACAATTTATAGCATTAAACCAAATAATTTCTACCATAATATCTACAATGTAATTTATCAAAATAAACAGAAATATTTGATCAGTTATTGCCTATAATAAAAACAGCAAGTTTGCAAAAGGGTTTACATTTTCAAATGGTGGACACAGAGAAAACAGAAGTGATAG